AGTTAGAAAAATGAAAAAAAAAATTGATTAAAAAACTTATGAAGTTTCTAATTTTAAAAATATACATAATTAAAAAAAAAAAAAATGATTAAAATAAACATATTATCTCAAACAAATATGAAATTTTAATTATACTTATAATTTTGTGCTTTGTTAAAATTATTTTTCTGTCTAAGAATTATTATTTAAAATTACATGAACATAGAAATATTGCTTAAGGAAATTATTTTTTTTTGTTAATTATCAATTTTAGTTGTACATATTTTTTTTTTTTTTTTTTTTTTTTCTTAATTCTCATGAATTATTAATATGCTTTTTCTGTTATGTAAATATTAACATTTAAAAAAAGGAAAAAAAAGGACTTTATAAAGTTTAATTAACTGTCTAAAATTTAATTATCTTTACTTTTTTCTTCATTAGTTTCTCCTTTGGCTTTCTTCTTTTTTGCAGTCAATGGGGAACTTAAAATATTCTTTAATAATTCATCTTGAATTTTGTTCGATGTTTTACAATTATTTAATTGAGAACATTTTATACCTGTAAGTTGCCTAATTCCATCTTCTTTAACCATAACAGTATATTTAAATTGTGCAACATATTCTTTTTTTTTTTCTGAAAAAACATTGTATGGCTTAATTAAAGTATGTCTTAAAGCTTCTGGAATACCAATTAATGCTGCACGTTGATCCTCAAGATATTTTACATGAAATGGTAATACAGGAAATTTTTTATTAATTTCATTTAAAAATGATCTTCCCAAATTTGTCTTTAAATGATAATTTTTTTGCACTTCTCTTTTATAAATAGTAGTTTTGTAATCACTTTCTTTTATTTTTCCATCACCAGTTGTAACCATAACATCAATTATATAGATATCATCAGGTTCTATTTGAAAATCTTCTATTTTATTATCCACATTATCTTTTAATAAAATATATTTACTTCCTTCCATGATATATTTTTTAATTTGATATGAGACACAATTAGAAATAACATTACAATTTAATTCTTCACAAGCTTTTTGAATATTTTTTGTTATTTCACTAGCATTCACACCCACTTTTAAACTCTTTAAAAATAACTGTGATAAGGTGTGAGAATTTTTTAAAACTTCTGCTTTTGGACCTTCTATTATTTCATTTTCATTACCAACATAAATAGTATGTCCAACTATACTAATATGACCATCTATATGACAACCTAAACAAATTTTTACAACATCTCCATTTTGTATTTTTTCATCACTATCAGTTGGAGAATAATTATTACATATCTCATTAACATTAATTGTTACAGGAAAACTTATCCCTTTTTCAACTTTATTTCCTTTTTCTTTTTTAGTATAAACTTTATCTAATTCCTCTTTTATAATTTTTTCACCATAATCACATAATTCACATATTTTAGCACCTAATAAAAAAAAAATATACATATATATATATACATATATATATATATATATATGTATATAACTATATAAATTTATATATATTACATAAAAGTTTCACATGCATATTTTCTTAATTCAAATAATAAAGAATATATATATATAATTTTTTATTTTTTACCATCTACACATTTCTCTATAATTTTCTTTAATGCTGTATTGGCTATTGAACCAGAATGAGTATATTTTTCTAAATCAATTTCTTCTGTTTTCGTATCAGGTATTTTTTCCATTTTGTCTGTAACTTTTTAAACTTAAGAATATAAAAACAAAAAAGAAATTTAAAAATAATAAAAAGAATAAAAATTAAAAAAAAAAAAAAAAAAATAAAAATAAATGAAAAAAAAAATAAATATATAATGCTTTTTTTTATCTTATTTAAAAACAATAAATTTATTTAAACATTGAAATTAAACTTTTTATTAAAAAATAAAAAGGAATAGGGAAAAATTAAAAAAAAAAAATATTTAAAATAAAAAAAAGTAAAACAAAAATCAAAATATGTTCACAAATGTAACTTAGCTATATGAAAAATTCATTTTTTTTTTTTTTTTTTTTTTTTCTTTATTTTTTGCGTGTATTTCTTAAAAAGAATAAAATAATAAAAAATGAAATATTATTTTTGAAGATAAATGTTTCTACTTTTATATTTTTTTACAATTTTTTAAAATTTTTACATTTTTAATATTATTTTCTTGCTTTTTTTCTTTCTTTTTTTTTTTTTTTTTTNNNTTTTTTTCTTTTTTAAAAACAATAAATTTATTTAAACATTGAAATTAAACTTTTTATTAAAAAATAAAAAGGAATAGGGAAAAATTAAAAAAAAAAAATATTTAAAATAAAAAAAAGTAAAACAAAAATCAAAATATGTTCACAAATGTAACTTAGCTATATGAAAAATTCATTTTTTTTTTTTTTTTTTTTTTTTTTTTTTATGTATTCTTCAAGTTTTTTTTTCTATAATTTTTTTTTCTGTATTTCCTTAATTTTTTATTCTATTATATTCATTTTTTTTTTTTACGTAATTATATTTTTTTCTTATTTCATTTCTGCTTTTTCAACTACTTTAATGACTACATTATTTAATTTTTACATACTTTTTTAATAATTAACTAAAAAAATTAATTACTAAACTTATCAAAATTGTATTTATAAAATTTTTAGAATTTACATGCGTAAATAAAAAATAATGTGTTTAAGCTTATGAAAACTAGTATAAAATCTGTGTATAAAAAAAAAAAAAAACATTCCATATAGAATGTATTATATTAACAGTATATAATTTTTTTTTATTAAACTTTAATTAATTTTATTAAATCATTAAAATATAAATAAATATATAATACACAAAAATTTATAAAATTTAGTGAAATATATTTTAATTATTTTTAATTATAATAAAATAAAAAAAGTAGTTACATATTCATAATAAACATAAAAAAAAAAAAAAAAGGAAAAATATATAAAAAAATTTCCAAAGAAATTAAAAATTAAAAATTACACTTTTTTTTTTTTTTTTGTTTTTTTAAAAAGAAAAAAAAAAAATAAAATAAAGTAACGAATTTAAGAGTATGTAGATATATTAGACAATTATAAGAACATATATATAGTAATATAATCATTAGAAAAAAAAAAAAAAAAAGAGGAAAATAAAAAAAAAAAATGACTTTTCAAAAAAAATCTATTGAATTAAACATTCAGCAAATCTTTGTGATTGATTGTTTCTTGATGTGCTATAAAAATAAAAGGAAAAAAAAATGAAGGAAAAATAAAATATAATTAATTTTAATAAAATAATTTTAACTTGATAATAATGGGTGAAAAATTAACAAAACTAAAATAATTCGTGTTTGATAATTCTAATAATTTCTGATTTTCAAACATAGTATCTTGAACACTTTTATCCTGTTAAAAAAAAATATGTGTTTATATTATTTATAATGTAAATAAATTATATATATATATATATATATAAATATTATATATATAAATTAATACAAAAATAAATTCCTTTTTGTTATTTGGCTGCCATATTTGTATATATTTATCAATTCCACTTGTAGCTAAAAAAGACCCTTCAGGATGTACCTAAATAATAGTGTATGGAAATTTTATACTTTATATAAAAAAAGAATAAAATAATAGTATATATAAATATATATATGCATATGTAAATATATTTTATAGAATATATTTGTTTGAAATTCTGATTATTTTTAGAAATACTTGAACACAATTTACATGATTTTCGTGACCTTTCAAAACATTTAATAATTTTCCTTAAAAAAAAAAAAAAGATATAAATGTATATATGTTAGAAGAAGATATAAAAATTCAAGTAATAATTATTTTTTATGAGAGTATTATTATAGTATATTTAAAAGAAAAAAAAAAAAAAAAAAAAAATAAATAAATAAAAAAATAAATAAATAAATAATTAAATAAATAAATAAATAAATAAATAAAAATACCATCTCTTATTCTCCACACATAAACTTCACTATTGTCACTTGCAGCTAAAATAACATTATCATTCCAGAATGCCACTTCTTTTATATCTGTCCCATTATTACAATGTCCTACAAATCTAAAAAAAAAAATATATATATATATATATATATATATAAATAAAATTGAATATTATTAAAACAAAATTTATCAAAGTTCATTTTTTTTTTACCTTTTACAATTTCCTTGAGGGACCCATAATGGGTCTTCAATTTTTTCTATATAGTTTCGAATGTTCTTTTTCTTTTTTTTTTCAAATACATATATATTTTTACAAGAATTAATATCTTTGTAATCAATTTCATTATAAAGGTAATCATAGAATTGATTTTCATAAGTTGAGCTAGTGTTATCTGTTGATAATGAAGAATAACTATTATCTGAAGAGTACTCACGGAAATCTAAAATAGCATGATTTTTTAGTATAGAAATTTTTTTTTTATGCAAAAAATTTTGCTCATCAGAAGAATATACATCTACTTCATCCTTTTCTTCTAATTCTGATGTATTAATTTCATTTATTAAACTATTAGAATCATATATTATGTATTCACATTTTTTCTTTTTATTAAAATATTTTCTTGTTTTATTTTTTATATCTCTCATACTTTCTTTTTTTTTTCTTTTATCTTTTATATTATTTTTTAAGGAATAATCATGTAAAAAATTTTTAGAATAATTTGAAGATGATTTATTATCAGAATTTTTTTTTTTTTTTTTTTTTTTTATTTTAATACTATTATCATCTTTATTTACAGATTTTTCAGAATTACTATGTTTAGAATCGCTACTTTTAAAGCTTAAATTACTACTATTAGTACTATTCCCATTGTCATCACTTTTCTTTTTCATTTTTTTTTTTTCTTTTGTTTTATTTTCATTTTTTAAGCTAATTACATTTTTGTTATTTTTTTCAATGTCCATTTTTATATCTAATGCATTTTCATTTTTATATTCATTTTGATATATATTATTTTCTTTCCATTCGTTACTTTTTAATTTACTACTTCTGCTTGATGAATACACATATTCATTGAAATCATAGTTTGATGAAAAATGTTTTTCATTTTCCTTTCTTTCTTTTTTTACTAAAAATTCTCCATCTAAACTTACATTATTATCAACATTATTATTATACTTATTATTTATAATAATATTATTTTTTTTAATATTATTATTAGAATTAGAGCTATTAGTAGTAGTACTACTACTATTATTATTATTACAATTATTAGTAATAGTTCTAGTATCATTAATAGTATTATTGTTATCAATGTTATTATTATTATTACAATTATTAGTAATAGTTCTACTATCATAAATAGTATTATTGTTATCAATGTTATTATTATTATTACAATTATTAGTAATAGTTCTAATATTGTTAATAGTTTTATCGTTATCAGTGTTATTATTATTATTATTATTATTATTATTATTATTATTAGTAATAGTTCTATTATTGTTGATAGTATTATTGTTATCAGTGTTATTATTATTATTATTACAATTATTAGTAATAGTTCTAGTATCGTTATTAGTATTATCGTTATCAGTGTTATTATTACTTAAAGATGTATTATTATTAGCAGTGATGTTGTTATTGTTGCTATTGTTACTATCATTTACTAATCTAGTACTTAGAATAACATTATTATTTCCTAATCTAAAATAACTAAAATTAAAATCATTTAAGATTCCATGAGTAAAAGACTCTACTCTATAATTCATATTATTAATGTCACTTCTCAAATTTTCATCATTTATATTTTCATTTTGATTACTTAAGTTATTAGTACTAATAATATTGTTTTGATTATAAGTATTATTAGAATCTTCAGTAACTGCATTTTCATGAATTGAAACATTTGTATTTTGATTTTGCGTGTCAGAACCAACAGATGTATTACTAAATGTAGAACGATACAATTCTAATCTAATTATATTCCTTTGATTTGTTTTTCTATAAGATTTTTCTAAAATATAATCTATATCTTTTTTTATTTTTTCCTTTCTAACATTTTCATGATTTCCAGAAGAATTTGAAGTATATGAGTAAGAACTTTGTTTTTCATCAAATTTTTCTTTTAGAAATATTTTTTTTCTTTTTTTTTTTATTCTTTCATTGTTTTTTATATTAGTAAGAAGTATTTCTTTTGTTTTTTTTTTTTCTTCCTCTTTGTATTTTTCTTCATCATCATTTTCTTCTACTTTTTCTTCTCTTTTATTTTCTTCTACTTTTTCTTCTCTTTTATTTTCTTCAACTTTTTCTTCTCTTTTATTTTCTTCTACTTTTTCTTCTCTTTTATTTTCTTCTTCCCTTTCTTCACATTTCTCTTTTTTTTTTTTATTTAGGAATTCGCGGAAATTGTATAAGAATTCGTTTTTTTCATAATTTTTTATATTAGTATTTTTCTTGTTGTCATCTTTTAAATTATAATTATTATTTATATGAGTTTCATTTTTACCATATATATTTTCATGGTTTTCATCCTTTTTATTTAAATTATCATCATTATTTTCTTCATTAAAATTATTATTGGTTTCTAAATTACTGTGTTCAATCTTTAAAAAATTATAATTTTTCTTTAATTCACAATTTGTATTGTCCTTTTTATTATTCTTAACACTTTTTTTAAAGCTTAATTTGTTTTGCTGCCTTTTTTTATCTAATTCAAATGAATTTCTCAAAATTTCCTTTTCTTTAATCATATTTAATTTATATTTCTTTTCTTTTTTATTAGAGAAGATATATTCATAATTTCTATTATATTTTTTTAATTTTATATCATTTTTCTTTTCATAATGTTTATCTTTTAAGAGTTTTTCTTTCATTTTTAAGTTATAAACTTTTTCTATCACAGATAAGTAGTAATATTGTGGCCACCCCTTCCATGATGTTATTGAATTTCTATAACAAAAACTAACATAAAAAATTAAAAAAAAAGGATAAGAATGAAGAACTTTATATTGTAAATAAAGAGATATCTGATTAATAATACTCATATGTTTTTCTCCTTTTTTTTCCTTTAATTTTTTTTTCACAATTTTGTCTTTTTTTGAATTTTCATCAATATTCTTACTTTCCACTCTACATCCACTTTTTAGATTATCATCAAATGATTCTATTGTTTTTTCATGATTATTATCTTTAAATTTTTCTAGATTATATATTTCTTTCTTTTCTTCTATATTGTTATATTCTTTTTTTTGCATATCTATGTATTCATGCATTTCTTCTATATGCTTATATTTCTTTTTTTTTTTTTTTTTTTTTCTTAATTCATTCGAGGTGCTAAAAAAATTTTGAGAACTAGATTCAATGAACTGTTCATGTTTTCTTTTTTTTTCATCAGAATTATTTTCATTTAAACATTTTTTTTCTGTAAATTTTTTCATAGTATCATTGTTGTTGTTCAATGGTATATTTAAATTCATAAATTCATTGTAATTTTTTTTATTTTCAAAAGTGTTCTCATTTTCGTCTTCTTTGAAATTCTTACTTTCATTTTTTACAAGATTATTAGAATAAGTATCTGAATTTATTACTAATGAATCATTATTTTCTTTATCTTCATTTTTACTTGTATGAGTATTAATATCTTCTTTTTCTTCATTATTATTGTAAATCACTTTATTCTCTTTATTTTTATATTCTTTATAATTGACACTTTTTTTATCATTTTCCTTTTCCTTTTCATCATGTTCATTCTCATTTTCATCTTCATTTTCATCTTCATTTTCATCTTCATCTTCATTTTCATCTTCATCTTCATTTTCATCTTCATCTTCATTTTCATCTTCATTTTCATTTTCATTTTCATCTTCTTCTTCTTCTTCATCTTCATCTTCATCATCAGTATCTTCGTAATTAAATTCACTTTCATTTTCTTCTTCATCTCCATCATACATAAATTTTTTTTTATAAAATGATTCATTATTTTTTTCTTCATTTTTTTTTTTTTCGTTGCTTACGTTTTCTTCCTTTAATGAACTTATTTTATCCTTATATAATTCATATAATTTTCTTTTTATTTTTTTTTTTAAATAAAAAAATTCAATAACACCTTTATAATGTTTACAGGCAGACAAGGTAATTCTGTATGCATTTATTAATTTTTTATTAACAATATTAGCTTGAATTCTTCTATATATTGCTTTGTAATAATGAGGATCTAATTTTAAAGCTTCCAGAGAATATTGTTCAGCTAAATATGCATCATTTTTTGCTTTTCTTTGTATTAGTGTTATAGCTAAGTTACAATAAAGGACTTTTTTTATATCTTTATTTTTTACTAGATTTAAGCATTCATTATATAAATATTCTGCTTCAAAATATTGTTTTTTTTCATAAGCTTCACCAGCTAACTTTTCTATATTTTTTATTAAGGACAATTCATAAATATAATTATTACGTTCTTCTAAATAATTATTATTATTATTATCTTTTTTTTCATTATAATAAGGTGGGAATAAAATATCGTATTTTTTTGTATAATCAAAAGTACATTTATTATCTACAAAATTATAACTGAGGCATTTTTCTTCTTCTTTATTTAAAAAATTAAATAAATAAACGTGTTCATTGTTATATGTTACACCTAAATATTTTCCATCGTTTGACCAAGCTAAATGAGTACAAAAAAGAGAATTATGATTTAATTTTTTTTCATCATCTTCATCACAATAATTCCATAAATGTTTTGGGTAATATGTATCTGAAGGAATACTGTTCCTTAAATTCATTTTCTCATTTTTTTTATACAGATTTAACATTCTCCTATCATAAACTCTTATTAGCATATCATTTGAACACACACCAATATAATTATTAAATAATGGATTAACAGCTATAGCTTTCAGCTTAATAAAAAAGAAAAAAAAAAAAAAAAAAATTGTGAAATAATGTTAATAAATTTATAGAAAAAAAAAATAAAAAATAATATATATATATATATATATATATTACTTCTCTTTGAAATTCCATGTTAAGATATTTATGTTCATTCATTGCTCTAAGAAGATTATATCTATTTTTCAAAAAGAAATTAAATTTTTTTGCTTTTCTATTTGTATTATTAGGAATATATCTATTAATTTTATTCTCATTATGAACTCTATTATAATTTATTATAACCTAAAAAAAAATTATAATTATAGTAATCTAAGTTATATTAATAAAAAAATATAAAAAAAAATTATATGTATATAATTTTATTTATTAATTATTTAATACATATAAATATTATACATTTTTACAATCAGGTGGATTACATATATGTTTTTCTCTAGTATCAAATTGTCTAACAGTACCTAAAAAAAATAAATAAAATAAATAAAATAAATATAATATATATATATATTAAAATNAAAATTTTTTTTTTTTTTTTTTTTTTTTTTTAATGATATACCATCTTCTGAACATGACCAGTAAATAAATTTGTTATGTTTTGGTATAGTTGCTAAATGTTTTACCCTATCAGAATGACACTTATGAATATCTCTGATAATATTAAGTAATATACATAATAATATATATTTACATATTTATATATATGTATTTTTAAGATTAAATTATTTTTTTTTTTTTTTTTTTTTTTTTTACTTATAAGAAGAATTATGAATATTATGCACACGAACTTGTCTATCCATAGAACCAGTTACAACAAAATCATTATCAATAAATGCTACTCCAAAAATATTATAGAAATGACCTGTTTCAATAGCATATTTAGGTTTATTTTTATATTTATATGAATTAACATTCCAAATTAAAACTTTTCTATCATCGCTAGCTGAAGCTAATAAATAATTATCATCATTCCATTTAAGTCTATTCACACATCCTTCATGACCTTTTAAATAATAAAAAAAAAAAAAAGTTATATATATATATATATATATATATATATATATATTATCATACATTTATTATGATAAATGTATTTTCTTATATATATATATGTCTTTTAATTTATTTTCTTTAAGTGTTAACCTTTTAAAGTCATTGTATTTTGAAGTCTACTTATAAATTTATCATTTGATTGTATATTTTGGTTAATGTAATTAAAATGTTGCTTATCTATTTTTAATTTTCTTACATCATTAAATATATTTTCATTTTGGTAATGATCGTAATTCATTTTATTTAATTTGTTATTTGGAAAAAAAAAAAAAAAATGTAAAAATAAAAAAATATATCACATATAATGATAAATATTTTATTATGCATAATATGGTTTGTCTGTATAAGATGCATTTATTTATAATTTCTTTTTTTCCAAAAAAGTAAAATCATTTTTTTCTTTATACATTTTTAATTCTTTAAATAAACTTTAGAAAAAATGTAACATATTACTTAAATTCTAATACTCAATTTTTTTTTAACAAAATTACATTTTTTAAAAAAAAAAAAAATATATATATATATATATAATTATAGATTACATTTAAAATGTGTAAAAAAATAAAAAAATAAATAATGAATATTATAAATATAAGCAAAATGGATGAATGAGAGAGAGAAGAGAAGAGAAGAAAGAGAAAAAGGAAAATTAACAATATAATGATATATATAAATATTAAATATAAATAAAAACATTTTTATTTCAAAATATTCTTTTATAGTTATTTTTACAGTTATAAATTTATGCTACTAAAAAAAAAAAAAAAAAAAAAAAAAATTTCTATAAGCTTATTTTA